GCCAGCAAATTGAATGGGACAGGATTGATGGAGACTCAGATATGGCGCTCTTCTTCCCATCTCTATTGGAGGAGGGCCCAGCAAAGAAACAATGGCCTCTGCCAGCACTTCTACCTTGGAGAAAGCTACTGCTTCAGCTCTTGCCTTGATGCCAGACAACTAAATTCCTCCCCACATGCCCCTGGTGCCCCAGCGCTGGAACTCAGAGTGAATGAGTCCAAGTAAGTCTGTGTGTAATCCCTTTAAGAGAAATGCCTGGGACTCCAGCAGCACTCCATATCACTCAGCCACAATCCAAGCTGTGTTTTACAGTCAGAAATTATGGGGACTTCTCTTTCTGGCTGGAATTCTGGGCTGGGGGACTTGGTGTGGGGCAAGAATCCCTCACTTCTAAGTAGGGACTTCTGCATTTGAGATATCTCACCCTATTTTTATCTGCCTCATGTGGGTGTGAGACCAGCCTGTTTCACATCTTGTCCTGGCAGGTGACCCCGCATTTGGTGTAGGGGCCTGCGCATATGGCAAGCTCCTTGGCTGTTGGACCTGGAACAGACAGAACATGAGGCATGTGCAGCATGGATAGCCGGCCGGAGTTAGTCGGGGTGGAGGATTGGAGATAAGAATCGGTGAAGGGCGTCGGGGCCTATGTGGAGAGACTTGTGGATCTCCGACAGTATTTGCAGTCTTTGGGCTTCTGAAAGAATTAAGAGGTCGGTAAGGCTGTGGGGGGAGAAAACCTGGAGAGGCTGTTTTAGGTTGATTTTCAGTGCCTCCGTGGTGAGTTCTGCCGCTGCTGCGAGGGCCCGGAGGCAAGGCTGCTGTTATAACTCAGTGCCATTGACCCAAACTCCCAGAGGCCGTCATGACAACCAAAGGGGTTGTCAGTTTACTCATTTACTGAAGAACATTCTTCACTAGCTAATCCCTAAGTAAACACTAACCCTTGAGGAATCCTGGGGTCGGCGCCAGGGATGATCTATTGAAAACATCTTGACCTTTGAGATGTCTGGGAAACTGAGTAACAGGTAATTAACTAACTGCTAAATTCCGCTTCTGTAACATGCTTGCTTACACGTAGCAACCCCCCTCACAAAATCCTATGAAAAGGAGCCATTTTAGCTCACCGCTGCCGCAGTTACTCCTGTGTGGGACACACTGCAGGCCTGCGGACTTAGCTCAATAAACTCCTTTTGTTAAACCCCATCTCGGTGTCTGAGTTTGGTCGATCTCCTGGGTTAAAACATTTGGAGGCCCCAGCGAGATCACCTCGAGGTCCCCCTCTGAGAGGGGTCAACCTCCTCAGGCACAAGGCGAGGCGCCTCCATCCTCGCCTCTACAAATTTGATCTTCTGACTGCGGCCAGATTCGGCTTAGGGACTTTGCACCACGTGGTTTTGGTAAGTGGATCGATCCATTTGTTTCTTTGTGTCTTTGGCTCCGGAGCATTTGGTGAGGCTGTACAGGCGGGACGCCGCGCACTGTCTGCCTCTAATCAGAGTCAGGACGCTGACTTCTGATTTTGGAAGCCTAGGTGCTTCACTTTGAAGGTGTGTGTGTTCTGTGAGGGTGTGAGACTAGTCTCAGTGATTGTTCTTGTTTGTCTTCTGATTTCGTGTTCTTGTATGTTCAACCTCTCTTTCTGCTCTAACTGTTTCACTTTCAGGAGGGACGCCATGGACCAAGGACCATCCAGGAAACCGACCCCCCTTGAATGTCTGCTCTCTAACTTTTCCGATTTTCTCAAAAGGTCCTGTAATTATGGGAAGCCAGCAGACCCCGGCTTCCTGAGGATGCTATGTGAACTAGAGTGGCCAGCCTTTGGGGTGGAATGGCCCTCGGAGGGGAGTTTTGACCCTAACCTCCTCTTCGCCGTGCGTTCGGTTGTTTATAGGGTCCCTCACCCAGATCAACGGGTATATATAGATGTCTGGATTGACATAGTATTAGACAAGCCTCCCTATATAACAAAATGCGGAAGGGAGGAGCCCCAAAAGGGAATGAAAGCTAAGGTAGGAAAGCATACCATCATGGTTGCAGCCCCAAAGGAGCGACCGCGGGGGCAACCAAGGAGAGCCAACCAGAGTCCCCTGGGAAAGCACCCAAACCCAGGATATATCTGGTCCCCCCAGGGGATCCTGAGGAATCGCTCCTAGAAGTAATGATGCCCCCGCCCTATGCAGGAAACGCCTTGGGAGGGAAGGCAAGGGCACCCTCAGACGAGCCTCAGGCAAGAGCCCCAGGCCCGGCTGACAATGCCAGACTTTTGAGTCCCTCACATACACGGGACGGCACCCCTTATCAACCAGCCCGGGAACCGGACACCTCAGTCCCAATGCTCCCATTACGAGAGGTGCCCGTTGCGCCCGGCACTATGGGCCCGGCGCGTATGATCTATGTCCCTTTTTCAATTAGCGATTTATATAATTGGAAACAACAAAACCCCCCCTTTCTCGGAGCAACCACAAGCTCTGATAAGTTTATTGGAGTCTGTATTCCGGACCCACCAACCCACTTGGGACGATTGTCAACAGATTTTACAAACTTTGTTCACCTCGGAGAAGAGGGAGAGGATACGCGCTGAGGCAATTAAGGCTGTAGTCGGGGATGATGCTGGCCCCGAGGGCTTAGATGATGAACTGCCTCAACGACCCCCAGAATGGGATCCAAACACTGGGGAGGGGATGCAGAGGTTACGCACTTATCACCGAAACCTCCTCAGGGGTCTAAGGGGCGCTGCTAAGAAACCCACCAATTTAGCAAAAGTAGCAGCCACTATGCAAGGGAAGGACGAATCTCCCACGGCCTTTTTAGAAAGATTATTAGAGGCCTACAGAACTTATACCCCCTTAGACCCGGATGCAGATGGGAATAGACGGATGGTCAACATGGCCTTCGTCTCACAGTCAACCCCAGACATCAGAAAGAAACTGCAGAAATTAGAAGGCTTTGAGGGAAAGAATAGAAGTGAGTTACTTGAAATAGCTCAGAAAGTTTTTCAGAACCGGGAGGATCCCATTAAGGAGCAAACTAGGCAACTGTCTCGAATCTTGCTGGCAACCCCTAACAAGAGACCACTAGCCACCTATAAGGGGAATGAGGAACCATCTAAAGATAGACCCCAACTTAAGAAAAATCAATGTGCCTTCTGCAAGGCTATGGGACACTGGAAGAAAGATTGCCCCAAGCTAATGGCAAGAAAAGCACAAGAAACCCCTGCACGCTTACTCCTAGAGACTGAGGAAGATTAGGGGGGTCAGGGTTCCATCAATTTAGGCCCCCAGGAACCCATGTTAACCCTGACAGTCGAGGGAAAACAAACTGACTTCCTTGTCGACACGGGGGCCACCTATTCGGTCCTGCAGCAGGCCTCTGGAAAGCTCTCCTCCCAAAAGACATCGATTATAGGGGCAACAGGAAAGCCAAAAGCATACCCATGGACTAAAGCCAGAATCACTGATCTTGGGAAGGGCACTATCACTCACTCCTTCCTTGTAATGCCCGACTGCCCCTACCCATTGCTTGGCAGAGACCTGCTGCGAAAGCTGAAAGCAACTATAACTTTTCAAGACAATAGCACAACTCTAAGCTTAGGGAACCAACAACCTTCCACTATCATGGTTACAGTACCCCTTTCTGAGGAATATCTCCTTCAAGAGGAAATGTCACCTCCCACTGGGGAAAGTAACTCACAGGATGTCTTGACTAAATTAGCCATACAGATCCCTGAAGTTTGGGCTGGAACAAACCCACCGGGGCTAGCCTCTCACCAGCCCCCTATCGTTGTGCAATTGGCGAGCACTGCTACTCCCATTCAAGTCAGACAATACCCAATTCCCCAAAAGGCCAAGGAAGGGATTGCCAAACATATTAAGAGGCTGAGAGATGCAGGCATTTTAATTCCGTGTCAGTCCCCCTGGAACACCCCATTGTTGCCCGTGAAGAAACCGGGAACGGAAGATTATAGGCCAGTTCAGGATTTGCGGGAGGTAAACAAAAGGGTTGAGTCTATCCACCCTACTGTGCCTAACCCATATACCCTCCTGAGTCTTTTACCTCCAGACAAGGTTTACTACTCAGTCCTGGACCTCAAAGATGCCTTCTTCACCCTGTTGCTTGCTGCGAAGAGCCAACCCGTCTTTGCCTTTGAATGGACAGACCCCAAAGGGGGTTTCTCAGGCCAGCTTACCTGGACCAGACTCCCTCAGGGCTTCAAGAACTCTCCCACCATTTTTGACGAAGCCCTGAGCCGGGACCTCCTCAACTTCCGAGACAGCCACCCACAGGTAACCCTGCTCCAATATGTAGATGACCTACTCCTAGCTGCCCAGACCTCCGATGACTGCCTTGCTGCCACTCGAGCCCTTCTCATTGAGTTAGGCAAACTTGGGTACCGGGTATCCATGAGAAAAGCCCAAATCTGTGTCAAGAAAGCCACCTACTTGGGTTACCATTTAGAGGAAGGGAAACGCACCTTATCCTCAGGAAGAATCCAAGCAATCCTTGGAATCCCAAGGCCAACCACCAAAAGGCAGGTACGAGAATTTCTAGGCGCGGTTGGATATTGCAGACTTTGGATTCTAGGGTTTGCAGAAATTGCAAGACCCCTCTATTCATGTACGGGGGGAAAGGAACCTGATTTAACTTGGACTGAAAGGGAAGAAGAGGCTTTTGAAAAACTTAAACAGGCGCTTGCCTCAGCCCCTGCCCTTGCCTTGCCAGATACCACCAAACCTTTCCAGCTTTTTGTTGCAGAACGCAAAGGCATAGCAAAAGGAGTCCTAACCCAGACTCTGGGACCATGGAAACGCCCAATTGCTTATCTCTCCAAACAGCTTGACCCTGTTGCTGCAGGCTGGCCGTCCTGCATGAGAGCAATAGCTGCAACTGCTCTCCTTGTCAAGGAGACGCAGAAGCTGACCTTAGGCCAGGACCTCCAAATCATCAGAGGCCACACCACTGAAGCCTTACTCAGGTCTCCTCCTGACAGATGGATTTCCAATGCTCGCCTCACTCAATATCAGGTACTATTGTTGAACCCACCACAGGTTACCTTCTCCAAGTCTACTGCCCTCAACCCGGCTACCTTACTCCCCAACGGGAATTGAGGAGAACTGCTCCATGATTGCCACTCGTTACTAGACTCCATAGAGGGAACCAGACCAGACCTCAAAGACGAGCAAATAGCCAACTCTGACCTCTATACTGATGGGAGCAGTTTCATCAGGATGGAACTCGGTATGCTGGGGCAGCAGTAGTCACCAATTTACAGGTAATCTGGGCTCAGGCCTTGCCCCACAGAACTTCTGCACAGAAAGCAGAACTGATTGCCCTGACACAGGCACTCAATTGGGCAAAAGGCAAGAGGGTCAACATCTACACTGACAGCCGCTATGCCTTTGCAACTGCTCATGTGCATGGAGCCCTATACCGAGAAAGGGGGCTCCTCACATCAGCTGGGAAAGAAATTAAAAATAGAGAAGAAATACTCAATCTCTTAGCAGCCATCTGGCAACCTAAGGCTGTGGCCATTGTTCACTGCAGAGGGCACAAAACCAAGCCTAGTCAGCCAAAAGAAGAAAATGACCTAGCAGACCGGACTGCTAAACAAATTGCCCTAACTGAGGTAAAACCTATAGAAATACTCCCTGCTCTTCCCTTTCGGGAATTGCCCTCCTCGCCATCCTACAATGAAGAGGAGCTCCACCTGGGAAGGAAGTTAAATTGTTCAACAGAAAAGGGGAACTGGCATCGGCTCCCCGATGGAAGACTACTTCTCCCCAAAGCCTTGGGAATTGCTCTCATTAGAGATCTCCACTATAGTACTCACCTAGGCACATCAAAATTAATTTCTCTAGTCAGTAGACACTTCTATATTCCAGATCTCAAGACTATAGCCATTTCGGAGGTTACCCGATGTTCTGCCAGTGCACAGGTAAATCCAGGGCCTCCCAGACCCCATGGACTTGGGGTCTGAATCAGAGGGCATGACCAGGTGAGCATTGGGAACTTGATTTTACTGAGATCTCAACCAGCAAATTTGGATTTAAGTACTTACTAGTTTTTGTTGACACCTACTCAGGATGGACTGAGGCTTTTGCCACAAGGCACGAGACTGCTAACATAGTTGCCAGACATCTCCTAATTGGGATCATTCCTAGATTTGGCCTGCCCTTAGTACTGGGGTCAGATAATGGGCCGGCTTTCATAGCCAAAATTTCCAAATTAATAGCAGAAGCTCTCAGAATAGGCTGGAAATTACATTGTGCCTATAGACCCCAAAGCTCAGGTGAGATAGAGAGAATGAATAGAACTCTTAAGGAGACTCTTACCAAACTTAAGATTGAAACCGGTGATAATTGGGTAAACCTCTTGCCATTTGCTCTGTTGCGCGCCCGATGCACCCCATATCTCAAGAAACTCAGCCTGGCTCACTGGAAAAACATGGGGGTTGAGACTATATCTCGCTGGATATGACATTGGTACTTTATTAACACCCACAGAGTCTCTAGAGAGCCGGAATAGGGCACCAGCTCCAGCTTTTGGGCCTCCTCAGGTGCCAATGCCACACCCCCTCAATTCCTTTAGCAGCTCGCTTCTAACCATGTTAGATTCTGTTTTCTCCCTCTTAAATAGTTCTCAACCTAACACCACCGAAGACTGCTGGCTCTGTGTAGATCCAGCACCACCCTACTATGTTGGTATTGGGGCAAATGCCACGGGTACTCTAGCCCCCATGAACCAAACTTTTAGTGACTCAGACTCACCTGGGGAAGGAACCCTTGCCAACTGTGCCCGAGCCGGCAAGCTCACCCTAGGAGATCTTCAAGGACAGGGGACCAGCTTCATCCTTGGAAACCTCAACCTCCAAACTTCGCCATACAAGGACAACTGCCTGACCAACACCTCTCTGTGAGCCGAAGGCTCAACCCCAAGGACCCTGATTGCACCCAGCGGGACTTGGTTTGCATGCTTATCAGGTATCCACCGTTGCATTAGCCCCGGGAACCATTCAGATCTTTGTGTTGTTATCTATATAGTTCCCCAGGTATACCTATATGCAGGGCCCACAGGTGCAGCCCATTTTCTAGCCTCAGACTATCATACTAGACTCCAGAAACGTGTTCCCATTCTGATCCCTGTACTGGTTACCCTGGGTATTGCCGGCTGCACTGCCCTAGGGGCGGCAGCCCTCATTAAGAATGACTTTGCCCTTCATGAGCTGTCAGCCACGTTCTCCCGCGATATCGAATTACTCCAGACCCAAGTCAAATACCTTGAAAAACAGGTTGACTCCCTAGCCGAAGTGGCCCTCCAAAATCGCAGAGGTCTAGATCTGCTCTTCCTCAAACAGGGAGGCCTCTGTGCTGCCCTAGGAGAGACCTGTTGTTTCTATGCTAACCACTCAGGTATCATCAGACAATCTATGCAAGAGCTGCAAAAGCGATTACGAGATAGAGAGAGAGAAGAACATACCTCTACCTCATGGTATGAGAGTATGTTCAATTGGTCTCCCTGGCTGACCACCCTCCTCACAGCTCTAGTGGGTCCGCTCCTCCTCTTATTCATAGCCTTAGCCTGCGGACCTATCATCCTTAACAGAATCACTGCATTTGTCAAGGAGCGGGTCCAATCAATTAAGCTTATGGTACTAGCCCAACAGCAATATTACCAACGCTTACCCCTAATCCATGACTAATATAAATCAAGGATTTGATTAATTCACCAGAAGAAGTGGGGAATGTTATAACTCAGTGCCATTGACCCAAACTCCCAGAGGCCTTCAAGACAACCAAAGGGGTTGTCAGTTTACTCATTTACTGAAGAACATTCTTCACTAGCTAATCCCTAAGTAAACACTAACCCTTGAGGAATCCTGGGGTCGGCGCCAGGGATAATCTATTGAAAACATCTTGACCTTTGAGATGTCTGGGAAACTGAGTAACAGGTAATTAACTAACTGCTAAATTCCGCTTCTGTAACATGCTTGCTTACACGTAGCAACCCCCCTCACAAAATCCTATAAAAAGGAGCCATTTTAGCTCTCCGCAGCCGCAGTTACTCTTGTGTGGGACACACTGCAGGCCTGTGGACTTAGCTCAATAAACTCCTTTTGTTAAACCCCATCTCGGCGTCTGAGTTTGGTCGATCTCCTGGGTTAAAACACTATAATTTTAATTCTTTAACATTTTTTGAGGCTTGTTTTATGTCCTAATATATGATTTATATCAGAGAATGTTCCATGTGCTTTTGAAAATTATATAGTTTTGCTATTTGGTGGGGTTTCTTAAATGTCTATTAGCCCTATTTAGTTTATTGTGTTGTTCACTTCTATTTTCTTGTTAATCTTCTAAATACTTGTTCTATCCATTTAATGTGGGATGTTAAAGTTCCTGACTATTATCGCTGAATTGTATAGTTATTCCTTCAATTCTGGTAGTTTTTGCTTAATGTATGTCATGCTCTAATTTCAGGCACATATATGCTTATAATTGTTAAGTCTTCCTGATGAATTGGCCCTTTTATCAGTATTAAATGCCCGTCTTTTTCTCTAATTACATGTTTTATTTATTTATTTCTATTCTTTTTTTAATTTTATTTTTGTTACAGATGTTTCTCCTTTTTTACCCCATTGACACCATCCTCCCCATTAACCCCACCCCACCCCCGGCTTTGTCATCCATGTTCATTGGTTATGCATACATGCATATAAGTTCTGTGGTTTATCACTTCCCTCCCCTTCCACCCCCTTTTCTGAGCATTGTCAGTCTGTACCCTACTTCCATGTTTCTGGGTCTACCCTATTCCTCAGACTGTTATGTTCATTATATTCCATAAATAAGTGAGATCATGTGGTATTTGTCTTTTTCTGTTTGACATGTTTCACTTAGGATAATACTTTCCAGGTCCCTCCATGTCGTCTCAAAGGATAAAAGATTTTTCTTTCTTACAGCTGCATAGTACTCCATTGTGTATATGTACCACAGCTTTATGATCCATTCATCTACTGATGGACACTTGGGCTGTTTCCAGATCTTAGCTGTTGTAACTAGTGCTGCTATGAACATGGGGGTACATATATTCTTTCTGATTGGTGTTTCAGGCTTCTTAGGGTATATTCCTAGAAGTGGAATCATTGGGTCAAATGGAAGTTCAATTTTTAATTTTTTGAGGTAACACCATATTGTTTTCCATAGTGGCTGCACCAGTCTGCATTCCCACCAGCAGTGTACTAGAGTCCCCTTTACTCCACACCCTCACCAACACTTGTCTGATGATTTGGTGATAGCAGGCATTCTGACAAGTGTGAGGTGATACCTCATAGTTGTTTTAATTTGCATCTCTCTGATGATTAGTGATGTTGAGCATTTCTTCATATGTCTCTTGGCCATTTGTATGTTCTGTTTGGAGAGGTGTCTATTCAACAAATCTGCCCATTTTTTTATTGGGTTCTTTGTCTTCCTTTTGTTGAGCTGTATGAGTACTCTATATATTTTGGAAATTAACCCCTTATCTGATGTATCATTGGCAATGATGTGCTCCCATACAGTGGGTTGCTTTTCCATTTTGGTAGTTGTTTCTTTTGATGTGCTGAAGCTTTTTAGTTTGATGTAGTCCCATGTGTTTATTTTCTCGTTTGTTTCTGTTGCCTTAGGTGATGTATCAGTAAAAATTCTGCTGTGTATGATGTCTGAAATTTTGTTACCTACATTTTCTTCTAAAATTTTTATGAATTCACGGGTCACATTTAAGTCTTTTATCCATTTTGAGTTTATTTTTGTGTATGGTGTAAGTTGATGGTCTAGTTTCATTTTTTTTGCATGTAGCTGTTCAATTTTCCTAACACCATTTATTAAAGAAGCTGTCTTTACTCCACTGTATGCTCTTGCCACCTTTGTCAAATATTAATTGAGCATGTTGCCTTGGGTCCATTTCTGGGTTCTCTATTCTTTTCCATTGGTCTATATGCCTGTTCTTGTGCCAGTACGAGGCTGTTTTGATTACAGTTGCTTTGTAGTATAACCTGATATCTGGTATTGTGATCCCACCTGCTTTGTCCTTCTTTTTCAAGATTGCTGTGGCTATTCAGGGTCTTTTTTGGTTCCATATGAACTTTTGAAGCATTTGTTCTAGTTCTGTGAAGTATGTCATTGGTATTTTGATGGGGATTGCATTGAATCTATAGATTGCTTTGGGTAATATGGACATTTTAATGATGTTAATTCTTCAATCCATGAACAAGGTATGTACTTTCACTTTTTTATATCTTCCTCTATTTCTTTTTTCAATGTCCTGTAGTTTTCTGCAAATAGATCCTTTATTTCTTTGGTTAAGTTTATTCCTAGGTATCTTAATTTTTTTTGCTGCAATAGTAAATAGGATTGTTGTTTTAGTTTCTCTTTCTGTGAGTTCATCATGGGTGTATAAGAATGCCATCGATTTCTTGACGTTAATTTTGTATCCTGCTACATTGCCAAATTCTAAGTCTAGTAGATTTTTGATGGAGTCTTTAGGGTTTTCTATGTATAATATTATGTCCTCTGCAAATAATGACAGTTTCACTTCCTCCTTTCCAATTTGCATCCCTTTTATTTTTTCTTCCTGTCTGAGTGCTGTGGCTAAGACTTGCAGTACTATGTTAATTGAAAGTGGTGAAAGTGGGCATCCCTGTCTTGTTCCTGTTCTTAAGGGAAATGTTTTTCATTTCTGCCCATTAAAGCATGATGCTGGCTGTAGGTCTTTCATATATGGCCTTTATTATCCCGAGATATGATCCCTCTATTTTCACATTGCTGAGGTTTTGTTTTTTTTTTTATCAGAAATGGATGCTGTATTTTGTCTAATGCTTTTTCAGCATCTATTGACATGATCATGTGGTTTTTATTCTTTATTTTGCTTATGTGGTGTATCACATTTATTGATTTGCAAATATTGTACAAGCCTTGCACCCCTGGGATAAATCCCATTTGGTCATGGTGAATAATTTTCTTGATGTATTGCTGGATCTGATTTGCTAGTATTTTGTTCAGAA